TTGTTAAATAAACTGGCATTAAGAATGATATATAGAGATTATAAAATTCCGATTTGAAACTAATTCTAGTGATAAAAAACGATTACTGTGAGTACTTTATCTTTGGTCAAAAAAATATTTAATATATTGTGTTATATTTGTAGTGTATATTCACCATTCTCTCATTCTGAAACTCGATAGGCAGAAGAACATAAGGACTACCACGCATGGCCTAGCGTAGAGCAATAGAACGTGAAACGAAAAAATCAATAAATTTACTAAGATATATAAGATATATAGCGAAACTCAACCAAATTGGAAATTCTGTTGAAAGACTGTGTTATGCTAACTTTATAAACTCTGATATTGTAACAAACATGCTAATAATAATATGTAATATAATAATATTTGGTGTTCCAATCATCTCAACTATCTGAATATGTAATTTACTCCATGTAACAATATTGTTAGAGTTAAGTTATTGCGTGAAATTCCACGGATTTTAACTTCCTAATTAAAAGACTCTTTAAAAAAAACACAATAATTTTGTTAAGCAAAGTGACATCGAAAAATATATCTAAATAATATAAAATAGTGATTTTAATCTATGGTTACCAAAGACAACATTAGTAAATAACAATGCAATTCAATTAACTTGATTAATTAAGCAATAATTAAACATTGTAAAAAATCATCCGAGTCATATTATCTAGAAAGCCATCTTTCTGTTACGGGAATAACATCCAACAATGCATCCAAATATAAAAGGACACAATTATAATATACTCTTATGAAAGACAACACTATTTATTAATAATAAATTAATAAGTATTCATTAATTAACAGTACAAAAAAGACATGATGAGTTTCTGTCTGCACATAATGCAACAGATCATTACCCAACGAAACGCATTCCGCTCGACCAACGAACGGATATGTCCTACGCCAGATTGATTATAAACAGAAGTTTTAACTCCTTTCATAAAGAGATTATATTCTACAAAATCAGAATTCAGAATAGATCAAGACTGTTTGCTATCTAACTCGTTGACAACCTAAGCTCGATCGTTATAAGGAAAGATAAATCAGCGAATGGGTTTTCTTAGTTAAAGATTACCTAAAATATCATTCTAATTGAGAAGTAGTCAAAATAATTTAGAAATTTGTAAGTTACTCGAGAATAACTAGTTTTTGAAATTTTATCACTCAATAATGATTATCAAAAAAATCTGATGATGGATTCAGCTAAAATCTTAAATCTACTTTTTAAATCAGCACATATATAGCATACTTTAAACATTTAATTTTAATTTACTTTCATATTTAAATTTATTTCTTTATAATTTTCACATTTACATTTTATAATAGTTTTTGTGGATATATATATGTATATAGCTGCGAAATCTAATATAGTGATGTTATAGAGAACATATTAGAATCAAAAACACTTCGTTTATGTGCTGGTCTATAGTATGTCCCAAATAGTTTTTTACAACATGACCTCCACGTCCCACCTGTATTTAAAACATACAGTCAGAAAAAATTACCGTACAAGGCTATCAAACCACTTGAACTGACTAGCACACCAGCTGATATCAGATACCAACCATATACGTTAATCAAGAAGATTTTCTAGGCCAGATCTGTCAAATATATAACTCAAAAAACGATTCACCAAACTCACTGATATTACATATTTATAGACAACAAAATATCCATGCTTTGTTGTAATTTAATCTTAAGCGTATCCCTTCAGTTCTTCTGGTATCTATAAGTAATACTAAAAAGTTTTTCTGCAAATTGTATTTATAAACAAAAAAAAAAAAAAATAATGTAGCATAAAATATAAGTTTAAATATAATTTAAAATTTTTTATGTAAATACTAAATTAATTAAAATACTATATTATATTAATAATATAAAATTAATATGCGTAATATTAAATGAATTATACCAATAAATTTATTTAATTAAATGTGCTCGTTTATTTAATTATTTGTAATATAATTATTTACGTTAATGTCAAAGATTAAACAAAATTTTATTAATTAAAAATTTTAAACGTTAATTAAATTTAAATGTTAATTTAAATTATTTGAATTTATTATAATTACAACAAAAATCATGTGCGGTTACGATCCATCTAGTACATTATTCTAAAATATTGATATGAATTGGTTAACAAGTCCCTTTCTTGGTTGCTTATTTTGCCCTTCGTGAATGACCAGGACGTCAAAGTGGTGATGTTGCATAGAGACTTAAATTGTAACTACAAACCCAGCTGTGTGCTTTTGTTGACTGTTGCACATCGTAACTAATACTTCAAAAATATACTGAAATAAATTGTTAGCATTTTTTTATATGGGACTTGATCCAAATCTAATTTCAGTAGATGCCGGGCCAAATTGTTTTTCCCAGAAAGTCAAACATAAAATTTTATGAAATTTCATTTTAAATGTTCTAGAAAAAAAGGTTTCGCTGGTACGATCTATACTTAATGCAAAATAAAAATTTGTAAGTCATAATATTTAAAGGTTTTGTCGCTGAATGGTCCAAGAGTCAATATGCAAAAACAAAGATATTCGTATCGAAAAGTAATGGTGAAAAAGCCATCATCACATATATATTATGATGCTGAAATAGTGTGCTTAAAATTCAACACAATCACGACGTACTGCAATCACAATAGGATTACTGATTAGAACAAAAATTAAAAGATTCGGCACTGCCTTACCTCAAACTGTGAATCCAAGCAGATGTTCAGTTCTGTCGATTTTCTGCAAAATACTGAAATATAGATGGCGCCAAAAAACTATGCCGTCAAAAATAAGTTAATGGTAGGTCTGTTCCACGAGCTACTTGCAGTAACATTGAGTAACACTGTGTATACACAAGTGTGTTCCACCAGCAAATTTTTGAGTAAATGAGTGCATTTGAGAGAGTGTAACATCCCTGTCGAAATTTCAAAATGCTACACAGACTTTACTAGTACATTTTCCAACCCTTTTTATGTTTGTGGATACCAGTGACAGCAACTCTTTAGTGGAATTGTGTGTCCATGTGCATTTTGGTTCTATATTTTCCTGCACACTGAACACTAATTCCTCTTCAGCAACAAACCGCTGTGACATGTCATCAACAAGTTCATCATCTAATAGAAAATAAAATATTATTATTAGAATATTATTATAATAGAAAATTATTTAATGAATTGCCATTTACAATGTGTAAATACAATTTCTTACCATTTTGCAATTGCAAAAAAGTTGTTGGTGAACATAAAACAACTGTTCTTTCCTCCATTTCGTCTGTAATAATAACACAAAATTAAATTTTTTATAATAAATTTATATAACAGCACTCTAACTCACTTTATTAAACAAAATTCAACTTTAAATAAATTAATTTTAAATAATATTTAAAAATATTTGGCTTGTTGTTTTGTTTCTTTGGTTTTCAAAATGTGTTTGTCTGTTATTTTTCAATTTCTATTTCTACTGTTTTGTTTTTCAAAAAACAGCTGTTTTCACCAGACTTTACACAAAGCTGTTCCATGAAAATTTGTGTAAAGAGCGTAATCTGGCACTTTATTTGTGTTACGCTCTCAGTTTCTACTTTACTTCTGTTTTACTCATGGTTTACTATGTGTAGCTCGTGGAACAGACCTTTTATTTCAAGTGAAACTTGTGTTGATGTGTGAATCAGCTGTTTTGGTTTGAATTTAAATGCTTTACTTTTCCCAAAGCTGTCCCATAAAAATCTGTGCGAAGAGCTTGATTTGACACTTTATTTGTGTTACGCTCTCAGTTTGTACTTTTTTTTTACTTGAGTTTTACTACGAGTACCTTATGGAACAGAGCTAGTTTTTAAACACGTTTTCATTTGTATAGAAATATTTTTCTACATAATTTGTGTATAGTATATATAACAATTTTAGTTCCAGTGTAGTTAAAAATTTAAAAATATTTGCGCGAAGAGCTTAAGATCCGATTACCAAACAGATCGCAAAACAAAGTAATTGCTTGATGTTTGTTTCGGTTGTTATAAGAGTTCATCTTAATCTAGAAGGCCCCTATAGTTTATATCTAGATATATAAAGTAAAATTTAATATAGAAATATAGAAATGCTGATGATAACATTTTGGTTAAAAATTATAATATTCAGAAGACTTAGGCCGTGTGCGAGTTCGAGTAAATTGATTGTAAATTGAGAGAAAAAGTAAATTTTGTCGGTATGACAGTGAATGTTTGTATTTCGAGTAGGGTAAATTAGATAAACTATAGGTAAATTAGGTGTTACCATTATGAACATTTTATAAGATGTTTAATAAATAAATAAATAAATTTGAAAACTTTTAACCAAACATATTAAATAAATGCAATAAATAAATAAATAAATAAATCTTTACATAAGTACAGTGCAATAAATTTCAATTTACTTTACCTCAATTTACTCGAACTCGCACACGGCCTCACTTACAACTTATAATAATCTTATAACATATTTAATAACGAAGCTTTCAGTAATATCAGAAATCTTGTCAAAAGTTTTTATTAGAATATGTTGTAAGGTCATTTGTAAGATTAGTTAGAGATTTTTCTGTTAAATTGTTATAATTCTGTTCTTTGATTGCTAAAATAAGATAGTAACTCTCCTGCTCGCCAATGTTTGTCAGATATTTAGTTTTCGTTGTGAATTCAGTAATTCATCAATTCGTCACACTACTATATCTATTTTTCTTCTCTTTCCTAGTTTTATTTTTTTTGGGTTGATTCTATTTCGAATGCGGTAACTCCAGGTCGCATGGTCTTGAATTATTTTTTCGTTTACGCACCTGCATAATAACATGGTAGCTCCATTCTCAGCTATCATATATAGCACCATTTAGCATGCTATGAAAAATTTTTAAAAGCAAATCATATGGCATCTCTGCTTTCTTATTGTATCTATCTGTCATTCGCCTTATTAAGCGCTTCGGAATGCCGAGTAAGAAACACATTTAGTCGGATCGCCATTAAGGTTTAGTTGTCGGTAGTGTTAATATCACGGACTTAAGCGTTGGATTAAAAATTTCATTTTTTTGATAAAATAGTAAAATTACTTTGAAATCTAATTTTTTTTATTTTCACTTAAAGTGAAGTGGTTTGTTTAGCTACGCATTCACATGCACTTCATTTCTGCGGCGTCGCAAAATTTGATGAAAACAATTTTTTTTGATATCTTCGTGTTAGCTTAAAAGAGGTTTTTGAGTAATTTTCTGAGCTGTTTTACGATAACGAAGAGGTTACTTATTGAGTGATTTAACAACTATTATGTGAGTAAATGCTTATTTATAAATTATTTATATGTATTTCGTTAAATAGTAGTAACCTAGCCTATAAAACTGCGTGCAATTATTAGTTAAACAAATACTTAAAGAATTATTAGTGTAAATTAATAAAATGAAATTATTAATTAATGTAATTATTTCTCTTTCTCTTATAAATATGGCGGGTTTTTTTAGTTATTCTCAGATTCGGCTAATTATTGTATGTGATTGTATGGGCTTATATATATAATCTTTTTACACGCGCGGTTTCTCTGTATTTCTTGGAATTCAAAAATTTTCCAATGTTTGCAAAACTGTTATTAGATACAGAGTTTTTTAAAGTCATATACAGTCAGGGACACAAGTTTAAATACACATGCAAAAATTTGAGACTAGCGGTCGATTTTCAGCTATTTCATCAGAAAAGATTGTATTTCTTTTGTGTTGTATTTCTTGTATTGTTTAAATTTGGTTGATAGAAATCTAAATTCGTTATTATTAAGACTTTTATTAACTTGTCAGTCCAAGTTATATTAGTCATAATGGTCAAAAAAAAGCGGAATAGAGCCAAGCGTTAAAATTTTGGTAATTTAGCACGTCAAAGAAGCCAAATAGGAAAATAATTGTATATTCCATTTTCTAGTGAAAAATATGCCTAGAAACGGACACCCAATAAAACACTTTCTGGTGAAAATGTTAGCTACATTCTGAAGGAAGTGCATAAGAATCCAAAATTTAATGCCTCAGAACTGGCTAGTGACATTGCTAATACTATGAGCAAACATATTCATTCAAAAAGAGATTGCAACGGAAAAACGTGAACGTTGGAGTTTTACTCTGCGCGGGGCATTAGATCACATAGCTTAGATACGCCAGATTAAAGTGTGGTTTGAATTTTGTTTTTCGGTCAATGTACGTAGGATTTAGTTAGACCAAGAATAGTATAGCTTGGTAAAAATTTGGATTTGAACTCAGGATTCAATGTAGCTTAACATAACACTCATACTACGAGTGTATCGATTTATGCGTCTTACTGTAAAAATATTAATTTACAAAATTGCAATTATCGAGTGCTTCGTATACATTTTAGATATCTGGAACTGTGTTGAAATCATTAATTAATTAAATGTGTATAGAAACATATTTATATTAATAAATAAATTGATTTTTTTTTTACTAAAATATATTGTATATTTCTTGTTTAATATATAAATATAGTTTTTTTTGAACTACAAACTCAACATCGACTTTTGGCTAGAAGCGTAGATTGTGTCTTTCTGTAAAACCCATAATAGGTTATAATTTTTTTTTGATTAATTTTTGGTGTGTCTTCAGACAATTTGGATAATAATTATTGTAATTATTTTCTTATTAATATTAGTTATAGCATTCAATTTTTTTTACAATAGTTGAAATATATGTATGAATATTATTATGTTGAGGCTAGTTAAGTCAGTGCACTTGAGCACTTTTACTCGCTATTAACTGCGAGGTTTCTTCATAACCCCTCTCTAAGCCTTGAATGGATTATTGTTTATCACTTCATTAGACTAAGCAATGATTGATCTCAGATCTGCATACCTCCCCGAGAAGCCTGTAACTATTCTGAGATTCGATAACGCGGTGTCGGTTATCTGTATATATATATATATAAGTTAATTATTTAAATAAAATAAAACAAAGCTTTTTGTACGAGCATGCTTTCGTGGAACTGAGAAGTGCCAAAGCCAAACGGTACTTTCCCAGATAAACAATTTGATCGAACAAGCGATCGAATGATATCGCACGATTCTGTTGTTAATGAAACTAAGCGCAGGGACCGGATTCGAGAGACCGCGCGGTTTTTAATTTATCTAAGCTTTTATATATATGAAATACGATCGTCAGTGTATACATGTATGAATATAAAATGGCTTAAAAGGTATATATAAAAATTTATTTTAAAATGTTGTTTAAGAAAGGATTAGTTATATATATATTTCCATCTTAGGTTTTTAAAAAAATTAATAAATGCTTTTTAAATACTGATATCTGTTCTTGGTGTTCTTGGCCAAATTTTTGTTATTAGTATGTGTATTATTTTGCTGTAATTGCATCTCCACTCTAAACTTGACTTCCGTGTTAGGTGCTCCATAAATGAGTTGCAAATAGATAATTTCTTCTTAAATTGTCATGGCTATAAACGTTGCTTAAGAAACCGAATTATCACTACTTATTTACTTAATTAACAATACTTAATTAGCACATCTTAATTTTATTATTTAATTTTATTTTTTTAATTTTTTTTTTCAAAATCTATAAAATTTCTTCAAGGACGAAAGTGAAAATATTTGACTTTAATGCACCGTAATGCCATAGTTTCTAGTGTTTGTTTTCTCTTGGTATTGCCAAGGATTTGTGTCATATTTAACTGTTGCAATATTTAATTTCTGTGATTTTTATTTGTCATTAAACAAACACGTTCAACAATTCACTGTGGTATTGTTATGTGAGGACATACGCGCTTTCACGCCACGGTTTCACATGAGCGCAGTTAATGGCAAATCACGAACACACGTACGCATAGCCGGCATGCAAGCAGTCACACAGATACACACACACACGCTCGCAGGCTCACAGGCTCTCAGGACCTGCTTCATAAATCAGTATTTCCATATAAAAGAATTAAGTTTTTGTGCTTTTATGCACAAAGGCTTTGCCAGGATACGCGGCACGCAACAGCGATTGCCAAGTCACAGTTTTCTATTATTTATAAACTGTAGCTGTGCAATGGCTGGCAGTCAAAGGCAGAAGGGACAAGAGGAAATATCACATGAATTTATAAAACGGAAGAACTTGCAATAATTTGTACTTTAAGTAATGGTTTCCTTCACATTGTATCTGGATACACGGATACGTGCGTGCACTCACCGAACGCAATCGCAAGCGACTGGCAATAAAATAATTTCGTGAAATCGAGTAGATCGTTTTTAATAAGCTTAAGTTATAAGGACTTTAGGTTTAAATTGCAATTCTTGGGTTTCCTTTTAGTTTATTTCGGCTTTTGGTTGAATCATTTCATAGTTAGCTTATTGAGAGGAAATAATGACATAGTATCACTACTCTGACATTGAATTGTGAAATAATTTAGTTAATCTTAATTTAGACCCGAAGGTTTTGAGAATTTACACCAACAAATGCAGGACTTAAATCGGAAACTATATGGTGGTGGTGTTGATTTGACACCATTGTTTCAGTGATAAATGTCTAACAACACTCTAATCATCTCATACATCCTAACTTCAGTTTGAGGTTTGCCATCTTTCAATATCGGTTAACGTCAAATTCACTCTTGAAAGGCTGATGAACAATTTCATCCACCGAACCCCCATTATCACTCTCCGTTACGCTTAGCATCGGATCCACTAATTCAGAGCTATAATGCTCTGAATCGGATAATAACGTCATCTATACCAAATTTCATTGTCAAGCTCAATATTAAGAGTCACATTGGAAGTTATTTTATTTACTTAAAACTATGGTGCCAACGACTGATATTTACACAAAGAAGCAATAAAAGAAAGAAAAAATTAAACATTTGATTTGGGGAAAGGGACTTCCCCTAACACCAAAATGGATTCATATTTAAAACAAAAATTCAACTTATAGAATGCACATTCCCATATTCCTATTGGCACGTGTGTATATCTTTATAGAAAAATTCGAGTTATAGAAGTTCGAGCTATGGAAGCAGAATAATGGGAGTTTGACTGTATTTACAAAAAAAACAAGAAAAAAAAGTAATTAGAACTTTATGTATACAATTATATTATTAGAAAATACATTTATTTTAATACTTTCTTATCTTCGTGGTTATTAAAATTTGAGAATTTTTGACTTTAAGTCACTGCAGAACTTTTATCAATTATCACCCACTTTCAGGAGAGCATTTATTTGTTTTTAAAATTCATAAATACCTCGTTTAAAATATGTTTTCATTTTTTTATATAAATTTCAGCGCATATTTTTATAATTTAAGGTGAAAAAAGTTAAACCGGTGCACCTATCAATTTTCCTTACTTTACATGCCAAATTGCTTAAATCATTCTGAATATTTTTCCCTTTTTCAAAAAGTTCTTGGTGGAAATCGTGTAGATCCCAGTTTTGACAGAAGTCAAATTTGGCGCATTAGCTGACGTCAAAGTTGCTTTACCCTCATCGAAATGAAAAAATAATATAAAAATTGAAATTTTAATGCAAGTACGTAAAATCAATTTGCCCCTTTTGCCAAAATCCTTTCCCATCAGCAAAGGCAACTGTTTTCGTTTGCTTTCTTTCTACATTTCACTTTTTTACTTTCATTTCTTTTTTCCCGCCTTACTTTCTTTCTTTGGGTTTTCACTTTCATGATTGTCAAATCATCACTCAAGAAATCATTTGTTAAGCCTCAATGCTTAAGCTAGGCGGTACTGCTGCTCCTGCTACAGCTACTGTGCCTTATTCGCTTGGAGTAGCAACCAAAGAAAAGTTAAGGAAAAAAGGAAGGATGAAGGTAAATGCTTCTGTACCTCTTTTAAGTTTTCCACGCCATTTTTTTCGCTCTTTTCCTTTGTGTATTTTGTAGGGAAAATTGGTTGAACGTAAATTCGCGCGCGCAATTTTAGGTGCGTATGTGGCACGACGTTGACAACATATTCCAGCCAGGAGCCTTGTGTGTGGCAGCTTAAGCCTAACTTTGTAGCCCCTAATTCCTTTTGGCGGTGGTGTAACAGTGAAACTTTACCTTTGCGTATTTCTTCCTGCCTTATTTTATTTAACGTTATTTCATTATTTTTTGTTATTTTTCGATTACGCTTGAAAGGAACAAAAATCGTTTGAAGAAATCTGTGATGCATAAACTACACACTCAAAACGACTGTTCACTTAACTTGGTTCCAGCGCCTGCTGCTTCTCCTCTCCCGCCAACACTGCTGTTCTCGCCAGTATTGCTGTTGATTTTATTGCGTCTATTTTACGCATGTATGCAT